GAAACCTGAAAGGTTTAAACGTGTGAATAACATTTCTAAGACATTCTAGACTCTGACTGGCCACAAAAAAACTGCCGCAGAGTTCATAGACGTCTGATGGCAAGTCCACACAAGAACACACATTCCACCGCAACGAAAATACCCTGTACAAGGACATGTTCCACGATACCATCTGAGAGCTACAACGATCGTATGTCTACATTAAAATACTGCTAATATCGCATTAGGAAACAGTTTGGCAGACAAAACATTATACTAGATCGGTCACGTGTATCTTACTGTTTTACTGTAAATTTTGTTTGAATATATTATTGTTTGAATAATGTAACATTAATATGCTTGAGATATATCTCTCTCACACACACGCGTATTGAATTTAGTATTAAATATGACCTAAGTAAATGTGTCTGGAACAGTCTTCTTCGTTTACATTTTATCTGTGCAGTTAAGCAATATCTGGCAAAGTTATATAAATCACTCAGCGGACCAACAAAATCTATGTTTTGCAATATAATAATCTCATGACTGCGTAAATACTGTCCTGAAAATGCTAATGCGGCTTTAAGTGAGTGAGAGAGTGAGTTTAGTTTTATGCCGGTTTTAGCAATATTCCAGCAATATCACACCAGAAATGGGCTTCACACGTTGTACCCATGTGGGGAATGGAAGCCAGGTCTTCGGCTTGACGAGCGAACGCTTTAACCATTAGGCTACCCTACCGCTCCTCGGCTTTAAGCAATAATACCTCGTATATTATTAACAAACGCATATGGCAGTGAACATTAATGCCTAATAGAAATATTGTTACGAATCGAATATCATCGAAAACCTGTGACACACCATGGGCGGATCCAGGAATTTTGAGAGGGGTGGGGTGGTGCAAGAAAAAATCTTCAGTGTGGTCTTAAGTTATTTTCACAAGGGAGGGTCTGAAACACACACACCCACCCCCACCCCACCCCTCCCTGGATCCGCCCATACACACTGTGCTAACGTTTTTCTTATCTATCAGCTCGCGTAGAATTCGACGTAAATTCACTCACTCAGCAACAACACGTTAAAAATATAGATCGTTGCGTATCGATGTCATTGCCCTGCTGGTGAAATCGATCACACCTGCCAGCTGTGCGCTTATAGTCCCCAATAAATAGACCTCATTCGTCGTTATTAAAAAAATAGCTTAGATTTGTGATCTATCGGTCGGTGTGTATATGTGACTATTTTGATATCCCGACATCAGTGGTAGTGGAAACCCTGTGCCTGTCATTATTCTTGGATTTGGCAGGTAAGAATATAAACTTGGGGTCGTGTAAGAGAGACCAGAGGGGCACACGTGCAGGTGTAGAGAGTATAAAAGCGACATTGCGTTTACCTCTGTGCGCTCATGTGTGTGTGTGTGTGTGTGTGTGTGAGTGTGAGTGGTGAGAGAGAGGGTTCTGTTAAACTCATTGTGCGCTGGGGATAGCGTCGATGTCTGCCTATTAGAGAGGGAGGGGGAAGGGTGGATTTGGATTAAACTGTTTTGAGATTGAAGGTATCTGTTTAAATGGGAAAAGTTTACTCGGTTCGTGTACAGCATTGTTCAATACGCTTACATTATACTGGTGCAGGCTATGGGACAGCTAAAGTGGGTCGCCATGATATGGTTGCTGACTACTGCTCAATGCCTGACCTACTTTCAAGAAGCAACATATACGTATAGACTAACAGCTTGATTCTAGTGGTGCACTCCCTGACATTGTGTACCTGTGTTTTCATACTTCGAAATTAGTAAGTCTTGTTGCTGATGTATAATTAGCTAGAACATGCCTGTAACCCGTGGAGTCTGTTGCTGGAGTGGTTAGCTAGAACATGCCTGTAACCCATGAAGTTTGCTGCTGGAGTTGTGCACTCCCTGACTTTGTATACTAGTAACTATATTTTCTTACTTTGAAAATTTGTAACTCTTTGTTGCCAAAATGTATCCAGCCCTAACATGGAGTTGTGTACTCCCTGTCTTTGTATACCTATCTGAAATGAATAAAAATGTTGAAAAAACCAGCTTGATTCTGATACACAATATTACATTGTATTATTATGTTAAACTCAGTACCGTTGTGCTAAGGATAGCCTCGATGTCGGCCTATATACACACGGTGGTGAAATATTGTAAGCTCGACCTAGTTTATGGCGGTCCTAAAGAGCAATAGATCAAATTAGGTTTAAAAAGTGTTTAACGCTTACGTGTAATACCAATTTAATGAAGAACTCGTGAAATTGCAAAACTAATCAGTCGTTAAGATTCGTGTTACAATAATGATGATAACAACAACATATTTCCACACAATCAAATTCAAAAATATTTTAAAATTAAATTGTATTGTATTTCCCGCCCTCAATGCGGATTGTTCTTTGCGTGACATTATCTGCTACGTGTTTGCTGCTGCTAGAACACTGGAGGAACTCCATACAGTGTTCATACACAAAGAACTTAAAACTGGTAATAATCAACACTATTCATTGAAAAACCACTTTAGGACCTGGAGAAATAAAAGAATGAATACAACAAATCGTACTGAAGAAAACGATATGAAAAGACCCTTCATTGTTTTGGAAAAAGTTGTAAACTATATCCGGTAACTGCACCCTCGGAGAACCATGGGTAGAGGATTACAAAAATAATGTACATGAAAACATAAAGTCGTCATGGTCATTATTGTGCTTCAATACGCATGAATGCCTGAAAAAATTAATCAAACGTGTGAATCAAACTCGGCGCCAGGGCCTGCTGGTATGCGTGACTTTAACCGGTACTTGGAACTGTTCTCTCGTGTCCAGACATTCATTATTTCACTTCTTTTATTTTTCTCGTGGACATAGGATGTTCTCTCACGGTTGTACAATACCAAGAAAGGTGATTTGACTGATCCAATACTTCCACGGATGTTGGACATACAGTCAATGTCAATGTTGATTTTGTTGATGGTTCCGACCCAAAATGTGCCATATCAGAAAGGCACAAGCTCAGTTTTTCAATGGAAAAGGACCTGGTGAGTCCTTCGGTGTGACACCGGATGGCATGAGCGTGAAACAGAAGGCTTTCTGTTTGCTGCTCAAGACCACTCACTTAAGTCGAAACCGTCAATGTGTGATTTTGTATCAAAATGTAAATATGAAATATAGGTTATACAATGAATGTAATGAGACTGTCAATCACCTTGTCAGTGGATGCCCTGCCTTTTCATAAAAGCCTTCACACTTTGGGTAATGCAGAAACAGCGGTGCCGTTCAGGAAAATCCTTGGCTAGTCCCATTCTCTATGTTCCTGTGTGAAGATGGAGTAAAGGCCCTGAGAAGACTGTGGATGGATCATCCAAATCCTCTTATTTTATTTCAGTACCTAAATATTAACAGATGTGTGTACGTTGTGTGTACATATTCGATAAAGTTAAACCCAGACCAGAGTTACATGTGATATACACCATGACTGAGCAGACCAGTGTCACATACCATGTACTTTATGCCTTAGCAGACCAGTCACATGTCATATACCCCATCCATGCCCGAGTAGACCAGAGTGACCCGTATTTTCATTATAGTGAAAAGCAACTGTAGCCTGTATTACTTGAGGCTTGGCAGGACCATACCCGTATCGTCATTAAGTGAAAAACAACTGTGACCTGCATGACTAGGAAATTGTCAGCATCATACCCGTATCGTCATTAAGTGAAAAACAACTGTGAGGCTTGTCAGGACTATAGCTTTATGTTCATTAAGTGACCTGCATTACTTGAGGCTTGTCAGCACCATGCCCGTATTTTCATTAAGTGAAAATCAGCTCTGACCTGTATTACTAGGGGCTTGTCAGGACCATACCCGTATGTCCATTTTTAAATGAAAATCAACTGTGACCTGCATTACCTGGGGCTTGTCATCACTAAACCTGTATTTTCATTAAGTGAAAATCACCTGTGACCTGCATTACTAGGGGCTTGTCATCACCAAACCTGTATTTTCATTAAGTGAAAATCACCTGTGACCTGCATTACTAAGGGCTTGTCAGCGCCAAACCTGTTTTATAACGGGCTTGTCAGGCACCATACCCGCTTGTTACCAAACCTGTATTTTCATAAAGTGAAAATCAGCTGTGACCTGCATTACTAATTACTATGGGCTTGTCAGCACCAAACCTGTATTTTCATTAAGTGAAAATCAGCTGTGACCTGCATTACTAGGGGCTTGTCAGCACCAAACCTGTATTTTCATTAAGTGAAAATCAGCTGTGACCTGCATTACCGAACCTGTATTTTCATTAAGTTGTCAGCACCAAACATGCATTTTCATTAAGTGAAAATCAGCTGTGACCTGCATTACTAGGGGTCATCACCAAACCTGTATTTTCATTAAGCAGCTGTGACCTGCAACATGTCATTTTTTCATTAAGTGAAAATCATGAATTACTGAGGGCTGTGGCCTGTATTTTCATTACTGTGACCTGAATTACTAGGGCTTGTCAGCATCATACCCGTATTTTCATTAAGTGAAAATCTGTTGTGACCTGCATTACGTCGGGCTCTACTGCACACCGCACTGACATACCATGATATGAGTGGTTCAAAGCCAAATTTAACCCAGCTACTTTGTATTCAATGTTTGAATACACAGGAAATGCAATGGAGTTACGTAGGATAAAACCCACTTATGGCGTGGCCTGCCTGCTTCTGGTTACATTATATCCGTATGTGCTTGTCGCGTTGCCATAAAACATGTCCATATGTAGCGTTTATCTGACTTCGTGTAATTCTACAAGCGTATATGTGTGCGTTCACTTGTGTAGAATGGCTGCCCTATTAAAATTTCTGGATCTTTCTTCCGATAACAGGCATGTGACAAATGAACGTGAAGTTGTCTTGTATTGGGGTCAATAACCTGAGACGAATAAAGGCCGAGTCATCTGACCAGTTATTCTGTCCACAGATACGTAGGCCTCCAGTCGTGTATCAGTCTCCCGGGTGTTCAACATGGCAGCAGTTCCCGTCGTTAACTTCAGTAATGGAAAGTCCATGCCTTCGTTTGGTCTTGGGACTTGGAAGGTAAGAATATATAGTATGCTTGTTGGCCTTTGTGTATGTGGTCTGGGAACTTTGCAGGTAAGAATATGAAATGTTTGTGTGTTTAAGATATAAAGAAGGGGGAGGAGAAGGGGGGGGGGGAGATCGAAAGCACGAAAGTGACGAGAGTGACGAAAGCACATATTATATGGAAAGGTGTAAAATATTAAAGCAACCTTATGGTGTGTTATATGATTAATCGACAAAACTATGTTAAGAAAATTGTATATATGTTTTATATGTCAGTGAATGCAAAGTTGAATTCATAATATTTATATAGTATGCTCATAAGACCTCTACGACTTGTTGAATGCTTAATGTTTCAGGTTTCGGCTACATATGCAATAAACATATTACCATGCAATGAAATTATATGAAAGTTAAGATTCATGAGTGGTTATTCATATCACCGTCAGGCCACTAGGTCAAATGGACACTGCCTATATAGGCTATACAAATATCCCGTACCTGACAACTGGAACCTGATAAACCCAGCTAGAGATTCATGATAAATGATCGTGTTCGCAAGTTCTTGTTATCTCAGAACCAGCATTTCCATTCTTAGCAAATTTACCCGTTTAAAATACACCCTAGTATGGTGATCTACCTTCAGTTGTTGGCAATCTGTAGCCGGTTTTTCTATTGTATTGTCATTTATAGGTAAAATATTTTAGATTTAATTACTAGTCTTAAATTTATTCCTGTGCTAATCTAGTTGTTTTACTGTCCTTCGTCGACAGGTGTTTTATAATGTAATTGTGTTTATTGTTAATTTATAACTTTTTAAGTCATAAAATGGCTGAAATATTACCAATAAGACTATGAATTTTAACTCCCTCCCTCACTCACTCACTTAAAAGACAGAAACACCTTTAGCACATACGCACACACACGCGCACGCACACGTACACACACTTTAGTCATGAAGTATATTGAAGAGCCAAATGGTTATACGTAGTTGAATAAAACACAAGCATATGATATGACAGGAGTAAGTGAGTGAGTGAGTTAATATTTAACGTCACATCGGCAATATTTCAGCCATATCGTGACGAGAACATTTTATATTGAAATAAAATATATGTATGTTATAAAAAACCTGCCGACGAAGGACAGTAAAACAACTAGAATATCACAGATATGTATGTAAAACTAGCAACTAAATCTAAAACGTTTTAACTATAGGGGAAAAAACAATACAGTATAAAAATGGGCTATAAATCGCCAATAACTGAAGGTAGATCACCATACCAGGGACCATGGGGACTTACATTACTTTTGCTACCTGCATGGACCCTAGTTGGAATGATATGACAGGACACTGAAGTGTATTTGAGAATACATATTTACTTTCCAGATGAACACTTGACGTTTAATTTGAATAGTCATACATGAAATATACGATAAATCCAATTGCTACCATTTTGTAAACCATGGCGAAATTACATGCCACATGAGGATTTTTGTGAAAGTATTTATTATTTGCTTTCATGAAAAGGTTTTGTACAGGCATGATAGATATTAAGTATGTAGCATTTCGTTTATTAAGAAACTTAAAACGTAACGTTTGAAAATTTGAACTTAAGCTTGCTACAAGACAAAAGGCGAATTCAACAGTCGGAGAATAGCTTGATTGATGAATGCAAAAAGACAGCTCAGAGCCAGCTGAAGAGGGGCGCGTGAGACACGTCATTCTGATTGGTTAACCAACGGCACGTGATAAGCAATGCCCCATACCAAGAGTATGTAAAGCCAGTGAAATCAGGTCATAAATCGTGAATGTGTAGTGATAACTGTCCGCTAAGTAAATAAACGTCTTCTTAATGCCTTAAATTTGTACTTCTGGATATAGAAACACAGCGTCACATATTACTTTCATTTCACTTCTGTGTTCAACATGTCTGTCGAAGAATGGAAAGAATTCTGTACAGAATGTATTTGCTCAACATCCAGTCTCCTTTTGGGACCGTCAAGCTTTGTTATATAAGACATGAATGAATGAAAGAAACATTTGATATAAGTGCATACTTAATGCAGATTCTGGGGCGGTGGGGTAGCCTAGTGGTTAAGCGTTGGCTTGTCACGCCGAAAACCTGGGTTCAATTACCCACATGGGTACAATGTGTGAAGCCCATTTCTGGTGTGATATTGCTGGAATATTGCTAAAAGCAGCATAAAACTAAACTCACTTAAAGCCGCATTAGCATTTTCAGGACAATATTTACGCAGTCATAAGATTATTAGATTGCAAAACATAGTTTTTGTTGGTCCGCTGAATGATTTATATAACTTTGCCAGATTAAATAATTGCTTAACTGATATTACCATGATTTGGCAGGAATATTGCTAAAAGCGGCGTAAAACTAAACTCACTCACTCAATGCAGATTCTGACGAAGATATTTTTCTCAACATGTTATTTACTTTAAGACATTTGCGGTATAATTTCAATCGTAACAGACCCGTGAAGATCCGGGGTGGAATAGATCTTCAGCAACCCATGCTTGCCACAAAAGGCGACTATGCTTGTCGTAAGAGGCGACTAACGGGATCGGGTGGTCAGGCTCGCTGACTTGGTTGACACATGTCATCGGTTCACAATTGCGCAGATCGATGCTCATGCTGTTGATCACTGGATGGTCTGGTCCAGACTCGATTATTTACAGACCGCCGCCATACAGCTGGAACATTGCTGAGTGCGGCGTAAAACTAAAATCACTCACTCATTCAATCGTTACAGGGTGGTTGCGCCTGGATTGAATGACCGGTGAGATATTGACTTCACTGGTGTAATACTCAGTAACTTGGGGAGCTTCTGCACTGTGTTTTATCTTAAATAGGTTAAGCCCACGAACGAGACGTAAGGGGAAACACGGTGTGCCCATGTTTGCACATTGTACTCAATTCATTTCCATAAAATTTACCTCCTTCCGCACGTCAGTTGGCATATTAATAATAGTTTAATCTTTCATATTTATATCAGGGTCCAGCATACTTTAGATTAGCTTTCACAACTTATTGTCCATAAAAGCCCGTAACACTCATTTAGTGAGTGAGTGTGTTATTTCTACGCCGCTTTGACTAATATTCCGACAATGTCATGGCGAAGGACACCAGGAGTGGGCTTCACACTTCTTGCCTGTGTGAGTTATCGAAGGAGGCATTCCGCGTGACAAGATGACACATTAAACACGAGGCTTCCCCACCACCTTAAAACGCATTGACAATCACATGACCTAGTCACGTCCAGCGTGCCTGGTATGATTGTCTCCGTTATTGCACCACGCCTCGTATTTATTGCACCGTGAGTATCATAGACCAATCAGAACGATGTATCTCCGTGGCCTTATCCTTACTTTGCATATCCATATTCGAAAAGGAACTTTGGGTTCAACAAAGGGAATAAGATATTTTCATTATACAGTGATTTTCGCAAATTAAAAATGGACACTTTGAACATTTTTACCTAATATCTAACACCTACGATACATCTTCCTCATATTCTTTCTGCTTTGGTTGGTTGGTTTGTTGTTTAACGTCGAACTCAGCAATATTCTAGCTATATGGCAGCTGTCTGTAAATAATCGAGGCAGGGCCAGACAAACAAGTGAAGAACTGCATGAGCACCAAGCTACACATTTGGGATACGATGACATGTGTCAACCAAGTCAGCGAGCCTGACCACCTGATCCTGTTAGTCGCCTCTTACGACAAGCATGGGTTACTGAATGGGTATGTATACTGCCTGCATAGACCAGAGGAGATGCATATGCCAAGAGTGCGTGAAGGTGTTTGTACATTTGTATCACATATCTGAACACTCCTTATACAAGCAGATTTTGAAAATGTCTTGGCAGCATTTCAGTACGGCAAGTATAAAGGATATGTAGTTGATGATTATATTGGCGTGAAGCTACCATAATACCGGTGCCCAAACCAGAGAAAGATAACACGGACCCTACTAATTATCATCCTAGTGCGCTGGCAAGTTGTATCTGTAAACAATGGAACGTTTGATCAGTGGACTTGTTGTTTGGTATCTGGAATCAAATATTCTGATAACAGATATCGAGTGTTGTTTCAAACGCCAGATCATCTCGTTAGACTGGAATCATTTGTACGTAATGGTTTTATTAAAACGCTACAAGTAGTATCTTTTTTATTTCGAGAAAGCTTATATAAAGAACATATACAGAAAATGCATGTTCATCAAGAACTGTTTTAAACAAGACACCAATATAGGTTTTCGAAGAAAATGTAAATTTTAAAACTATTTCTCTATTCGTGTAGTCTCCGAAGGGCGAAGTAGCGGAAGCTGTCAAAGTAGCCATCGCCTTTGGATACCGCCATATTGACTGCGCATGGGTCTATGGCAATGAAGAGGAAGTGGGCCAAGCCATCAATGCCAAGATAGACGACGGGACCGTCAAGCGAGAAGATTTGTTTATTACCACAAAAGTAAGTTATTTCCTGCTTTAATACTCCGAGTCGTGAATGTCCCGTGTTTTAGAATTAGCAAACAACACTAGTATGTCGACATGGAATCTGTCTGAAGACAGGTAATTCTCTTGCATTTTGACATTATGTATTTCCATTATCACCATAATATTTCTTTTTCATTGTCAAAGTTGCTGCATTGCTGCCTTTGCTTTGGTTACCCATTTAAAGCAATGCTTATATATTGTTCTGTCAGTACCAAATAGAGTGGTGGACTTCTACGACCTTTGATCTGCCATTGAATATTAAACGCGATGGTAAATCAAATGTTTTAAACCAACATGTGCGAACACACTCACGCCCACATGTAGGTATCTGACTCAGGGACTACTCCATCTGTTTACAGCTATGGAATACATTCCATCGGCCCGACCTTGTCGAAGCTGCAATGAAGGAATCTTTGCAGCGACTGGGACTTTCCTATGTGGATCTCTACCTAATTCACTGGCCAGTTGGCTTCAAGGTAACAACATCGGTTACTGACCCGTGGCTTCTTTTCATACACTGTTTCCTTTCCAGCTAGGGTCCATGCAGGAAGCAAATGTACTGTAAGTCTCCATGGTCCCTAGTATAGTGATCTACCTTCAGTTGTTGGCAATCTATAGCCTGCTTTAATATCGTGTTGTCCCCTATAGTTAAAATGTTTTAGATTTAATTACTGTTTTTACGTACTTATCTGTGATAATCTGGTTATTTTACTGCCCTTCGTCGACAGGTTTTTACAATTCAAATTCATTTATTATCAATTTATAACTTTTTAAGTCACGATATGGCTGAAACATTGACTATAAAATTTTAACTCACTCACTGTTTCTTGGTTTGTTTGTTATTAAACGCCGCATTTAGCATTACTTCAGCTATAGCATGCCGGCTTTAAATAATGGATGAGAGAATCCAATGACTGATATCACGAGCATCGATTTACGCAATTCGGATACAAAGACATGTATCTGTCAGCGAGCCTTGACATTCGATTCCATTAGTACCCTCTTACGACAAGTATGGGCTGCTGAGGGCCTTTTCGACCCGGATTTTCAAACCCATATAAGCATATGGGAAGATAATGCCAGTTTGCTATAGTATTATTAAAGGCGTGTCCACATGCAGGATCTTTATTCATGTCAATGTGTACATTACATATTTTGCATTGTTTTGTGTTCTTCAGGAAGACACTGGTGAATCGTTCCCCAAAGATGCTGATGGCACGTTCTCGTTGTCAGATGCTGACTACCTCGATACCTGGAAGGTGAGGTTTTAATGCATATACACAAGGAATCATACTAGAATGTGGCACCTACAAGTACGTGAATGAGTGAGTAATGTTTCGCGCCGCTGTCAGCAATATTCCAGGAATATCACGGCGGGGGACACCAAAAATGGGCTTCACACATTGTCCCCATGTGGGGAATCAAACAGGGGTCCTTGGCATAACAAGCAAATGCTTGTACCACCAGGCTACCTCAAAGTAACAACCACAACTTGTAATCGCAAGTTTCCTCTGACTGTTTTCCTGAGTTCTTCCTGGTATGAGAAAGTTCCAACATCTATTTCATGATTTGTTTCATAACTGAATTACATTTCAAACTTATTAAAAATCACATATCATGGCAGCAGGACTGTAAACTACGACCTGGGATTGTATAATGAAGTTCGTTTTCTTTAGGAAATGGAATCACTTGTGGAGAAAGGTCTAACCAGGTCAATTGGCGTCTCCAACTTCAACTCAGAACAAATACAACGAATACTACAAATGGAAGGCTTGAAACATGCTCCGGTGAACAACCAGGTAAAGTGGCCTTATGCAGGGGAAGTCGGGCCTTCAGCAACTCATGCTTGTTGTCAGAGGCGACTAACGGGATAGGGTGATCAGGCTTGATGAAGCTTGTCATAGTACCCCAGTTGCAGAGATCGATGCCAATCATGTCTATGAATGGATTGTAAGGTCCAGATCTCGTTATTTACGGACTACCACCATATTGCTGGAAAATAGCTGACTGTGATTTAAAAACAACAACAAAAAACAACAAATAACATCATACATCGAAACGAAATACCGGCCAAATGGCTATTTTCAAAGGTTTTAGCTCGATAAAATTGCATTTAAATGTTTCAATAATACAAGATGTAGACATACAAGAGACATGTCTAGACTGGCTTTGATTATCTTTTCGTCGCGCAAATATTCACTAAAATGAAGATGGTTATTATCAACAGGTCGAAATCAGTCCCTACATAACGAACGACAAGCTGATATCCTTCTGCCGAGAAAAAGGGATCGTTGTCACTGCCTACTCGCCACTCGGAAGTGCTGACCACCCGCTGTTTAAGTAAGTCACTGTTGTCATATTCTTGATCAGCAACATTCCTGAACATTTTGAATGTTTCTGTGACATGTTATTGTGTATCGCTGTTAAACTGGACTGAAGGTAGATTATTTAGGTTGTCAACTTATAATAACCTTACTAACAAAAATCATTTGCACGATTTCGGTTATATCTCGGAATTCTTAGTTGCCAATTACCAAAAATGGTAATGATATTATGCAGCAGCAGGTGCATAGAGCACTACAACAATTATTCAAAATATAACAAAATAATATTAAACTAGATTTTTCAGAAACTTTAAATCGTACCGCCGTGGCTTAATCATGAGACACATCTACTGAACGTAGTCCAACGTACGGGTATGACTTTATCTAAGCACGTGTTTATGAAACTATGAAAAAGTGGGTAATCACATCTTCACGATAAAGGGGGAAGTCTGTCTTCCACATGCACTAGGTTGTTTTGTTTGGGCGTTTTAGCACCCTTATTTTTCGCTGTTTTTGACAATGTTTCATTTCACTCAAACTCAACGAATATTGAATCAGTTGCTTCACCGCATGTTCTAAGATGTCGTTTAAAGTGCCCATTAAGCACACAAAAAGGGTTAACTTTTAAGGTGTTCCCATACTTTTTGTTTGTAGTATACATAACAATCCACACACGTGACCAATTTATTATCGTATTGCGAGTAAACAGCCTACAAACCATGAAGATGAGCGATTGTGAGTGTTACTAAGGTAGGTTATGTGTAAAAGAGGAATCGAACAAAATAGGTTTTGAAACGTATTTTCTGTTTTCAGACCTTAAGCTAAAACTTCAAATTGTATGCATAACTTTTACATCTATAACAGACTACCATGTTCAAGTAAAAACCACATTGAGGCACCGTTCGTCGCGCATAAAAGAAACTCTTTGGTAAAAACGAATGTCCGAATCAACATGGTCTTAAGTGTTCGGTCCGACTGGCAAAATCAACTGAAACGTCAAAGATGCATCATGATAACACCACAGTAAATGAGTCTAAAAGACACGTTTTTATATTAAACCGCAAAAGAAACGCCATACCGATAGAGGTTTCTTAAAGCACACACTATAATTTGCTCTAATTAACAATCAAAACGGAAGGTTCAGTTCAAACTTGACAATTATGGTTAACACATTTTCGGGAATCACATTTTTCACTGGCGTTTGTTTTGCTGGAAGATGTGATTTCTGTGCCGTCCAAAATGTGGTACAATGTGGGATCTTCATATTTGGTCAATATAGCGAGTAGCTGTCACGCTCATTTCCTCGTCTTGGATCGAGATTCTGGAACACCACAGGGCCAGCTCTCTGGTTCAGACCGATTGCACCCCTCACCATGATGCTTTGACCACCCTACGCGTCTCTTTCAACAATACACTCATTGGAAAACCGTTCCCCACGCCCTCACCATACACTTACTCTGGCATCGGCTGTCGAAACACAATATCGGCTTTCATGAGAAAAAAGCACAGTTTTCCATTGTCGATAACGTCCATTTTGATGCTGAGTTGCCCATTGCAGTAGGTTTTGGCGGCGAGGAGCGGTGACAGGATCACGATATGGTCTGTGACAGCAGACTTTTCTTCCGTGCAAACGTCGACGCACTGTATCGGCACTGATGGGTCTGTTGTGGGTCCCAATGATCTGGCGTGCTGTTTTCGTCGCTCTGGTGAAGCGATCCCGCAGATGGTTGGGCACAATCCGTCGGTCTTGACGTTGTGATGTTACTGAAGGTCGTCCACTGCGTGGACGGTCTTGGATGCTGTTAATGGTCTGATACCGGTCTGCAGTCGGTAGACTGTCCTAACATGAATATTAAAATGATTGGCTACCCTCCATGCAGTCTGGCCAACTTGCAATCGTCCCATGGCTAGGTTTCTCTGATCTCGCTTTCTCTTATGTCTTTAGTTTATGCATAGATTTAAACATAAAAGACATGAGGTGAATGTAGAGAGGGTTTTTATCTCTCTTCTTGCATTCACAAGTCTGTTATATCTTGTTCAGATGAGGAACTCAGGGGAACACGCATTGGCTATAACCCATATTTATGAGGATAATGAAGAAATACAATTTACATAGGCAGTTTGGTTAAGAATGCGATCGTAAAATCTCATTTGCTTGGCTTTATGAATCAATCCATATTTTGTAACAAGTGCACACTTTCTTTTAGATCGGATCCTACTTTCCGACGAGTGTTCGATGAGCCTTCTCTTCAAGCAGTTGCCAAGAAATACGGGAAGTCTGTAGCTCAGGTATACTGCAATGTTCTCAGGACACAGATAGACCGCCAGACTATTGCAAGAGTGTTGCTGAAAAGCGGTGTAAAACCAACGTCGGTCACATAGACAACACTTAATGTTTTTCATCTCGTATAGAGCTTTTTACTCCTGTGGAGATCCTGGTAAGAATTAGGTCTTTGGTAACACATGGTTGTCATGAAAGGCGACTAAGGAGATATGGTGCCTTCCATACATTTTTTCGTGTACCAGTTCCGTAGCTCATGATATCAATCACTAAAATGTCGGGTCCGACTCCATTATTAACAGTTAAGAATCTCTTCGTCAGATATTTAAGGCTGATTATATTCATGTTTACTGGAAAAGAGTTGGGGGAAAATAATGTTTCCATTTACCTCATCAAGGATTATTTGTTAGGTTAAATGTTAAATAGTTTTTCGTGGCCGGTTTATATACAATAGCTTTTAGTCGTGAAACCTCAAACTGAATTTGCTGTATACCGTTGCAAACAAATCATTTTCATACACACAGGTAGCCCTTCGGTGGGGGATACAGAGGAATACCGTTGTCATCCCAAAAAGCGTGACGCCGTCAAGAATCCAAGAAAATTTCCAGGTAAGTCATATCTCGTACATTAATGCAAGACTTTAAAACGATTGAGATGTGTCTGAGAGGTCCTCATGTTATTGGTTTCGTATATACTTAAGGAATTTGCAATTGACCCTGATACTGATAGTCAACTTGAAACATTTGAAACTCCTGCAAATTAGAAACAGTACGTTCGACTGCAACCTCGAAAGCTGTGAGATGTCGACACGAAATACTTTTACTGTTGCATTGTTCGAATTGACTGATTTAGCAGCTGAAAGCTCGTGATCGATATCTTACGAGTCTACTCCAACACATTTAATCAATTTCAAGACATTTCAAGACATAGTACAGTCTGAAAACAAGTGTATCCGGTCAGTGCAAGATACTGCAAAATAGGATTGCGTCATTTTGTAATCAACATTTACTTCTAACTTCCACAGATTTTTGATTTTCAACTGACACAAGAGGAAATGGCCGTGGTATCTGCACTAAACAGGAATTTCCGAGCTTGTGCGTTTGACAGGTGAGCATTCGCAAAATATTCATATATACTGAGAGAAACAAATAAAGTAACACAGGAAAATTCAAGTGTTCCTTTAATATTTGCCAGTTTTCATCACCAGCTTTGAATAGTGCTGTGGGAGGAAATCTGTGAATAAATAAAGAACACTGCCATGAAGTGGCGTTCCCTTATTTGTGTCTCTCAGTATATGTAAAAAAAATAAACACACACATTTTGTTTCCTATTTGACGGTATTCATAATGGAAATGAACATAACTTATATTCATACAATTCTTTTCTTTCTACAGGATATCGCACGGCAAATATTATCCGTTTTACGCTGAGTTTTGAATCGTCAACTACAAAGATGGCCACGACTTGACCAAGAAACCATAGTATGTAAGCTATAAAGCCTACCAAACTGAATAAATACATTTTGGGAGACATCAGACTCTGAGTTTGTAGCTTGTTAATTTATGTTTGTATATAATATTTAGTCCAGCAATGTTCCAGCAAGGTGATAACGGTTTGGAAAAAATACCAAATTACCATGATTTGTATCATGGGCATCGATCCATGCGTGGATGCTTGTGGATGATTTGTACATTGTATCAACAAAGTCAGCAAGTCGATCCTGTTAGTCGCCTCTTACACATGCATTACAAACTGGATGGTGACTGTGAGTGGTCGTTATAACAGGTGACAGCTACAAATTAATCTATTAATTATAATAATAATGCTATGTTATATTGTCATGCAAAGTATCTTCGTCAATACTGAATATATAATAATAATAATTTATATTGCGCATTTATCCATGCACATTGCATGCTCAAAGCGCTGTCATGTTACCTCTGGTCAACGATTACAACGAGGCAATTTTGAACAAACTCACTTCCCTGAGGTGAGACCACATGTATCACATGTTGTGGGGAAGGACCGAAGTCCTACAAACTCTCAGGAGTCAAGCTGCCAAACACGGTCACCCATCGAAGGACTCTCCGTGCCAAACGTTGCTTAACTTCAACTGATTGTGACCTGTTGCAATTGTTAGTTGTGGATACATGTATTTTGCAGTAATGTGTGAGCACATCAAATGTCTTGAACATAATAAATACATTTATAACATTACCTTTGAGGTTGTTTAACGCCGCACTCAGCAATATTACAACTATATGGCTGGTATCTGTAAATAATCGAGCCTGGACCAGACAATCCAGTGATCAACATCATGAGCATATACACAACTGGGATACGATGACATGTGTCAACCATGTCAGCGAGCCTGACCATATATACACAACAGCAATTATTATATTTCTTCTTTCAATATAGCATGGGTTGGACGGTTGGGTAGCCTAGTGGTTAAAGCGTTCGCTCGTCACGCCAAAGACCCGGGTTCGATTCCCCATATGGGTACAATGTGTGAAGCCCATTTCTGGTATATTGCTAAAGTCGGCATAAAATAAACGCACTTCCTCATAGAATGGGGTAATATTGATTCAAGAACCATTTATACATTTGTATTAAATCATGTCTCAATTATACCTCAAAAGTAATAACCCTATCCAAATTGCGTAGATCGATGCTCATGCTGTTGAACACTGGATTATCTATTACAAATAATCAAGTTTGGACCAGACGGTCCAGTGTTGAACGCCTTTGAGAGATTAATACGTATGTGATACTGTTCTCACGGAACGAATACCAGCGAGTGTAAAATCAAAACAAACAAACCATGACACACTGTGTTGACGTTTTTATTATCCATTAACTCTTGTCGAATGCAGCGTAACTTCACTTTGTTACAACATGTTGTAAATATGGATCGATGCGAAAGTCGCGTATGGATATCCTTACTCTGCTAGTGAAACCAATCGCACCTGCCAACAGTGCGCATATGTAAATAGTCCCTAACAAATAGACTACTTTCGCCAGTATTCAAATGATTAATAGTAAATGTACATGGGTAGCTAGCTGTAGGGTGGTATTGCAGAGAATTTTCATATTGCGATATATTGCATGTATTGCGATATGTATTGCAATATATTGCATGAAGTATTTTTCAACAAAAAACTACTTATACTCGAGTTACTTCTTGATTATAGAGCAAAAACACAACAAAATCAGTAGGCTTGATTAAGCTTTAATAACAACTTTTAATCATGATAAAATAAAAATGTGAATAATATTTGGCACAAATGAAACAAGGACATATCCGAACATTTCCGAGTGTTACGAAGTTTTCCGAATGCAAGTCAAAATACCGGTTTTCGATCAGCGTATCGCAATACGTATCGTTTTCATGTCTGAACCGGTAAATACCGGTAAACCGGTTATATTGCGCAGCCCTAGCTAGCTGCCTGTGTATTCGCTCTAAATTCGCGGATTTGTTATTCCGCTCGATGAAAAGTCTATATTTCTGTTATGTGAGAGAATAATTCACTGCTCATCTTTGGCGAGACCAGCATACACGTACAGATACACAACTGTGTTCTAAAGGTAGGCCGTTTTATGTTATTGCATATCGTACGCATGAACTTGTAAGGCGTTTGAAGTTGTATTATTCTGTCAATCTCAATGGGATTGTGTTGAGGACAGCGTCGATGTCTGGCTATATACGCACAACAATGAAATATTGTGTAAAATACCTTGACCTTGTTCCATGGAGGGATTTCCCATGTACCGCTCACTGACTGACTGACTGACTGAGTTTGGTTTTACGCCGCTTTTAGCAATATTCCAGCAATATCACGGCGGGGGGACACCAGAATTGGCCCTCACTCATTGTACCCATGTGGGGATTCGAACCCGGGTCTTCGGCGTGACGAGCCAACGCTTTAACCACTAGACTACCCCACCGCCCATGTACCGCTCAAGTGTAAAACAGAACGTAAGAAATAGAATACTAAAGTTGCTACTGTAATACCAATTTTGTGAAACTCGTGAAGAACTCGTCAAATACTATAACTTTCTAATCAATCGTTTCTTGTTTAAGGTACACGTTTCAGTAACGAAAAATAACCAGGAAATCATTTCCACAGAATTAAACTGATGCGTTACAGGAAAGTATTTCTGTCGCTGGATGCGGACTGTTCGTTGCGTGACATTATCTGCTACGTGTTTGCTACTGCTAGAACACTGGACGAACTCCATGCAGTGTTCATACACAAAGAACTGGTAATAAACAAAATCATCCGAAAGGAAAACTAAATTAAATGAAACAAGAAAAAGTATGACCAGCATCGAATTTTGCTTAAAATTACCTTCCTCGACAAAACATTTGAAACCGATTTGGAAAAAAAATGAAAAAATCTACAAAACCACACAAAAGACGTGTAAATCAGATTCGTGATTCTTTGAAGGCAACATTAAAGACCTGGACAAAGAAAGTGGAACAAGAAAGATAGTTCCATCAAACGAAACATGCTCTTCCAAACTGATGGAAACCAGTACATGAATACAGCACATGAATTCAACAAATGGTTGTGATGAGAACAATGATACGGTCGACATTTGTGTTCCTCACCTGGATGTCTACGAAAGAGTATTTTAAAGACTAAATCTAATACAGCACAAGTATACGTACCTGATGGCATTCGAAAGTGGTACTGGAAACTGTTCTCTTGTGTCCAAACTCCATTATTTCACTGTTTCAATTTTAGGAGTATACTCAAAAAATATTATGAAAAAGTGAGAATATACCCCGAAACGTCCTCTTCCTCACTTTACAGAATTTGGCATCAATAAATGTTCACTCTATTGGCACGATTGACAAGATGCAGGAGACGCATGGCTAATATATGTAGAACATGTCACACTTGGATTCCAAGTACAAAGTTCTCTTTGTTCCCTGCACCTCAGGTTTGGTACCTTCAAGTCTCACACACCATGCCCGAGTAGACCAGTGTTACATGTTTGAAACACCATGCCCGAGTAGACCAGTGTTACATGTTTGATACACCATGCCCAAGCCGACCAGAGATACAGCAAGAAACACCATGTCCGCGAAGACCAGTGATACATGTTTGATAAACCATGCCCGAGTAGACCAGTGGTACATGTATGATACACCATGTCCAAGCCGACCAGAGATACAGCCAGAAACACCATGTCCGCGTAGACCAGTGATACATGTTTGATACACCATGCCCGAGTAGACCAGTGTTACATGTTTGATACACCATGCCCGAGTAGACCAGTGTTACATGTTTGATACACCATGCCCGAGTAGACCAGTGTTACATGTTTGATACACCATGCCCGAGTAGACCAGTGGTACATGTTTCATACAGCATGCCCGAGTAAAATGTTTGTTACCAATATTACATGTTTTATACACCATGCCCGAGTAGACCAGTGTTACATGTTTGATACACCATGCCCGAGTAGACCAGTGTTACATGTTTTATACAGCATGCCCGAGTAGACCAGTGTTACATGTTTGATACACCATGCCCGAGTAGACCAGTGTTACATGTTTGATACAGCATGCCCGAGTAAACCAATATTACATGTTTTATACACCATGCCCGAGTAGACCAGTGTTACATGTTTGATACACCATGCCCGAGTAGACCAGTTTTACATGTTTGATACACCATGCCCGAGTAGACCAGTGTTACATGTTTGATACACCATGCCCGAGTAGACCAGTGTTACATGTTTTATACACCATGCCCAAGTAGACCAGTGTTACATGTTTTATACACCATGCCAAAGCGGCCCAGAGATATAGCCAGAAACACCATGCCCGAGTAGACCAGTGTTACATGTGTGATACAACATGCCCAAGTAGACCAGTGTTACATGTTTTATACACCATGCCCGAGTAGACCAGTGTTACATGTTTTATAAACCATGCCCGAGTAGACCAGTGTTGCATGTTTTATACACACTGCCCGACTCGACCACTGTTACATGTTTTATAAACCATGCCCGAGTAGACCAGTGTTACATGTTTGATGAACCATGCCCGAGCAGACCAGTGTAACATGTGTGATACGCCATGCCCGAGTTATAGACCAGTGTTACATGTGTGATGCCCGAGTAGACCAGAGGTACATGTTTAACACACCATGCCCGAGTAGACCAGTGTTACATGTTTGATACACCATGCCCGAGTAAACCAATATTACATGTTTTATACACCATGCCCGAGTAGACCAGTGTTACATGATTTATACACCATGCCCGAGTAGACCAGTGTTACATGTTTGATACACCATGCCCAAGTAGACCAGAGGTACATGTTTTATACACCATGCCAAAGCGGCCCAGAGATACAGCCAGAAACACCATGCCCGAGTAGACCAGTGTTACATGTTTGATACACCATGCCCGAGTAGACCAGTGTTACATGTTTTGATACACCATGCCCGAGTAGACCAGTGTTACATGTTTGATACACCATGCCCGAGT